TAAATAGCAATGTTACTTGGGCAAACAAACTTAAGGTTCCATAGTGGTGGGGCGTACCTGCATCCGTACCCAAACTAAACAACACTACTTAAATAAGAGCAGCAACAATTAGTATTGTTACAGCTAAGGATTTACATCTGGTGTCGTTGTTTTGATGCCAGAGTGACTAAATTATGTTTCAAGGATTACCGGTACTTTCGAAACACCCATGCCGGGAACGCATAATGCAGTCAATTGCAATTACAAAAGCACATCCCAAACATCACTGAAATTGAAGATGCCAAACTTGCCTCGCACAAGTGATCCATTGGGAAAACAGCCGAGTACTAAAAGGTCGACAGACGCTAATGATTCGGTTTCGAATCTTTGTGGCGGTGATGATGAGGTCGAGGCTACATTTTTTGAGGTGAGGCTTAATGAAAATGAACGATATCGTAAAGTCTAATCCTTATCGCCAGAAAAAAACTACCAGGCATCTTAAGCAAAATAGTGACTACGTACATATCTAATAACTGCTGATCGCTCCGAAAATATACTCTCACATAAGTATTAGTAAAATTCTACGCTCTCGTTTGGTCATTTTCTTCGTGCTAGATGTCAAGATAACTGAATATTTAATAGATGTCATCGATTTAAAATGCTTTGATACTTGTGAATTTGCCCCTTATCTGAATCCAGGGTCAAGGATACTACTTTTATTCGTTTATAAGCAGAGTTTCGAGATCACCAGTAAATCAGTTATATAAGATGTATGCACCCTATTTCGTTTAAGGTGAAGGACTGGTAGTTGAAGGTTTCCACAATGATATGAGTAGAGCCGACGTTTCCATTGAATTTCACATATCTTTGCTTTCCCAAAAGTTGTTATCATACAGAGTGGACTTCAGGAAATCGGAATAGGTGTAATAAATAAAAAGTGAACATAACAGAGTGCGCAAGACAAAGTCCATAGAACGCAGAACAGCAAGTGATCTACGGCGAAACTGCTGCAGAAGCGGGACTTTTCAATTAAGATATTTTGACCCTATTTGAATGCTTATGAATAGTTAACTAGATACAAAATAGGTTTGCGGACTAAGGGAGCGAGGCGATAGAACATATGGTGCATGCCAAGGAAAGTTGATCTTAAAAAGATAGGACTTTCGAAGGAGGCGCAGGAGAAGTTAAATGGCAGATGCAAACAGACGATGAATTAATAGACTTAATGTACAAACAAAGTCTGTGAATGGAAAGTAAAACTGTACAATTCATTAGCCAAATTAATGTGATAGTGGAAATATGGGGAAGTGATTAACGCGAAAATTGTCACAGACACTCTTGCTTAGCGGTGTTAATTAATCGTGGCCTAGAAGATTCGGTTAAAGTTCAATGTATCCAAAGAAAAAGTGTAGTGATAGTGGTAGTTGTTTGATCCCATTTTTGGACAATGTCCACAGGTCGACGCTTAAAATTGTGATAAAGCAGAGGACTCCGGTAAAGGTGGTTCATCTAGACGCCTTGATAAAACGACTAAGTTGCAAAAGTTAGGTCAAGCCCCTAATATATGGCAAAATGAGACTGCGACCAAAATACAGACAACAACATCAAGATTTTCATACCTAAGATCGAAAAATAGTGTGAAATGATGCCTCTTCGTTTTACTTTAAAAATGCGAAAAAGCGTTATGGATATCTGTGGAAATAAGGTAAAAACATAACCCTCTTTTAAAAAGGCCAGAGGTTAAAGGCAAAATATGGTAGGGAAAATAAAAGTAGCAATTAATCACCAAATAGGTTACAAATTTGCTGATCCGAGGATTGTTAGCTTGGAAGATTAGCCACTTATGAGAAAACAGAAAAAGTGATTAGGTCATGTCCACTGTCATTTATAGGTTGATAAAGGATAAAGGAGCAATTAAGTGTATATTATGAATGGGAGGAAATTTGAAAGTTACAAGTGATCTACATAGCACACATCATGCACTATGCATACAAGAATACTATTGACATTAAAGAAGTTATAAGACTTCCATGATAGATATCAAGTAAGCTCTAGTATTAGGCTAAGCATCAATGCATTTATTTATAGAGTAGGAAGAAAAATATTTATAGCAAATTAAATATAAAAAATGGAATTGTGGAATTGGGATACAGAACAAAATAGGGCTGAAAAGAATCATCATGCCTGAGGAAATATGCCAAAGGTATGAAATAAATCAATAAATAACGTAACGCATGGCTTTATGGAAAGTAATACTTGCAAAAATGGATCTGTTTTTATGAAGATGTATTAATAAAAGTTAACCCTGAGAATAAAATGAATCTTCAATTGTAACATAAAAAAGACTACCTTCACAAAAAAGGCAGACCTGCGAGCCCAGATATAAGCCGAAAATATTTTAAATTTTATTTTAAAGAAAATATATGAAGTCAAAGAACGAAAGTAATGTGTGTGAGCAATTCTAGCAAGTACAGTGTAGGTAAAAAAGCATTATCCCATTTTACAGAAATGTAATGGGAAAGAAGACGGGTGAATATGTTCTGAAAGAGAAAAAAGACTGAAACTAGGAAAAATAAAAGGAGAAACCCTGAGAAGAACTAAGGTACTTCGGATGCAACTTCACCACCGAAAAGAAATCTCTGGTGAAAAGCTGGATAGGGGCAGGTCATAGGAGGTGAAGTAAGTAGGCTTGGAGTCCAGTTAAGAACCTGGTGTCTTGTGTAATCTGAAGAGGGGGCATAAAGTTGGCGACTAGTATGCGGAAAGTACTTTAGGCGCAGCTCGGGGTCAATTTGGTTAAGTTTGGACAAAAAAGTGCTTGATTTATTACAAGAGCGCTTTACATTGGTTAAATCAGCCAAATTAGGAGTCGTCAGAGTAAGAGTATCTTTGGAGTTGGAAGGAAAGCCGAGGATAAGAGCACGTAGCTCCTCCAGAACTTCAGTCAGCCAATTTGGATTCAATGGTCCAGAAAATGCGGTTGGAGAGAGTCCAGGAACAGCCTTACATGAAAGTGTTTCCCTGAAAGTAAGCGGCAGCAACGAAACATATTAGATTGTAAGTAGGAAAGAGAACAATACGAAGAGTCTATAGGGTCCACTGCATTCTTGCTCTTTTACTATGTTTCTGATACATTTGGGTAATAGATAGGCTTGAGGCAGTGGATTAAGGAAAGGGCTCCTTTTTGTAAAAAATAATCCATCCCATACCAAAGAAATCAGCTCACTCACACTCCAAAATGTGCCGACATATTAAATATATACCAAATAAGTATAGTGCTAATCGAAGTGGGTTGACCTCGTTGTCTCAACTTGGTCTTGTGTTCAGGGAGACCAAGTTGCGACAACGAGGTCAACCCACTTCTATAAGTCGAAAGG